GGCAGGGGGTGGGGGTGGGGGATCTCTGGACAGGATGAATGCAATAGAATCTCATTGAGACGAGCTGATTTAAAAAAAGGAAACTGTAGTTGTAATCGATGTTTTAAGCCCTTGCGGACACAATTTAAATACTTCATGAGGCTGCAAGTGCAGACCTGAGATAACTCTTGGTAAAGATAAATTCAAGCGATCAGAATTACTTGGTCGTATTCGCCCTCCCCTGGTCTTCAATCTCCGTGGAGCTACCTTTGGATCCGTCACAACGCCAGGCGCGAAAAAAAAAGCTTTTAAGAATTGGCGGTCGAATATATTTATTTATGTACCTTTACTTAACCCTTTTCATTCCTCAACCTCCGCTTCCCCCCCCCAAACACTCAGTGCCCCCGCTACAGCCTTGACCTTCACCTTGAGGAGTGCATGAAGACTCACCTTGAGCTGACCTGTGACCTGGTGAAACAGCAGCAGTTGCAGATCTCCCAGCTGTGCTCAGCCCTACACACCATCAGCCACACCACGGACGGCGTGTTCATCTGGCGCATCACGTGAGTGTGTTTGTTTGTTTTCTATCACATAATATAAATATTGATATTATCTGTTCACTTTACAAATAATATATTTATTGACCTCGTAATTGACTCAGAACATTATAATATTTCTATTGCTGCTGATACTGGTTGTTGTTGCTGTTGTTTTTGCTGCTGTTGTTGTTGTTTTTGCTGTTTTTCTTGTTGTTGTTGTCGTCACCCTGCTTCTATTTATGTTAAATCCCTCCTTTAAATACACTGACTTTCTTCCTTCCTGTTTCTAAGCCTCCTCCCATCCCGATTTTATCTGAGCTAACTCCCTCCTTTTTAAATTCTAAGCTAACCCCTCCACCCCCCCCCCATAAAAAAACGACCAAAATAAAACAAAACAAAACCCACATAATTTCCAACCTCGTTTTCCCAGTTTAAACAGAAATTCTTCCTATCTTCTCTCAGGAACTACAAAGCCAAATACATCGAGGCCATGTACAAAAACAACAAAGAGCTAGTCAGTCCGCCCTTCTACACGTCCCGCTTCGGCTACAAGGCCTGTCTCTCTGTCTTCCTCAACGGCAACGGCGCCGGCGAGGGGAAGTACGTGTCCCTGTACATCAAACTGTTGCCTGGTGATTACGACAACATCCTCGAGTGGCCATTCTCCCTTCCGGTGTCCTTCACCTTGTATGACCAATGCGCAGACACGGACATGCGTGCTAGCCTGTCGGAGAGTTTCCTGCCAGAACCGGGGTGGAAACATTTTCAGAAGCCGACTAAGTCTGCAGACTCTTTAGGCTTTGGTTATCCCAAGTACGTTTCTCATGAAATTCTCAAAACCCGTGATTATATCAAGGATGATTCACTTCTCATCAAAGTTAGTGTGGACAATACCGGTTTTGTGAAACCATGACTTTTTATAAGTACTGGTTTGATCTATGCAGAATGAAACTGAGTCCAAGTTTGACGACAGCGCGCGCTTCGATATTTCGTTTGGTGCCATGCTAGGCTATGTTGTCCATGGCCCTAGTTCGAGTCCTCAATAGACAACAGTTGCTCGGAAAGTTGTCATGGCCTTTCGCCGTCCTTGCACGGTCAACCAGAAGACACTAAACCGGAGGTCAAGCTTCTGAAATAGCCTTACTGATTTGAAAGGGGTGCTCAACCACAAAACACCACCACCAAGTCTGACGGAACTTTCGAGAAGCCTCAGACCGAGTAAAGATTTGCCAGAGAGTACGGCGGTTAGGCAAAGGACGTTTTTCAACTGCCTGGCCTACTGAATGAAAACGATTTCATTTCAGTCTCGCCAGCCTGATGAAGTATGATAAGCCACGTCAACTTTCTCTTTAGGATTGCGACAATGAGGATCTGATAGATTCAATGATGATCTGTATACGTAAGAAATAACACGGTGATAAGTTTGGAGACGCCAAGGATTTGACGTGGGCAGAACGGCTTGATAAAAGTGGCTGCTGAGTTTATAAAAGGCCTGTCAAACGTGATGAAGTTCATTGGGGCCTTACAGACTCGTCAGGGAGATTCGACGGGTTCGCTGGCGTCCAATCGACGAGTGAAGAATATCTAACAAAGACACAGAAGTGTTTATCAATAACAATTATTCAAATCTGATAACTCTACTGTCGTCTGATTGACAAGACTGAGGAGTTGATTTGACAACTTTACAGGCATCGTTCGGTAATAAATTCAAATCTGACTGACAAATTCTCTGGGGCCTTACTGACTGTGTTACACTTGCGATAGCAAACGTTATAAGATGAATTGACTATTTACGTGGCTTCTTGCAGACATGATTGAGATACGTTTTAGTGCGATATACATATCATGCAGTTTATTGTGTACAAACAGCCGATGAGTTGGAAGCACACACAGCCTACAATGGACACTGTTTTACTGTTGTGACGGACGCAAAGTTGCCCGTTTTCACAGACTTCAGGTTAAAGTGAGGCAGGCTGGTAGTCATGAAGCTGCTCTCTTTATCCAGAGGAGATGTCCCGAGTTTTATCACCATAAATGTCACACGGAAGGATTTTTTTCCAGCTTTTGATTTCGTTGCTCTCTGAGTGGCTAGTCTCAATGCAGGCGAGTGCTATTAAGTTAGCGACGTTTCATAGATGACCGATCCATGTTGAAATTGGCTTACAATACAGTCAAAAGGCACAGCTAAAGTGAAAGCTGTTGGGTGGATGAGACGTTAAACCATCATCAGAGTACCCTTTCAACCGCCCTTAGTGTAAAATTATAGCTGTGTTACCTGTTTTCCTGAGAAAGGAAACATTTTCAACTGCAGACATCTTTTAACTCTTTTTGTTGTTGTCATATGACTTTGCAATCGAAAAATTGTGATTTATCTGGTTATGGCATATATGTTAAGTGACTATTGTTAGTGCAACATCGTGTATGTGAGCGTGTGTGTGTGTGTGTGTGTGTGTGTGTGTGTGTGTGTGTGTGTGT